TTTCTGCTAGAGATCAAGGTCACCAAACTATTCAATCAACTTGGGTGGAGCCACTGGTGCCAAGCACGGTTGAAAATGTGCCCATGACCGACCTTCCTACTGGGACCGGGCTACGGAGTGATGAAACTCGAGTTAACCTGGATGCAGACCTAGATGATCTTTTTGCCTAATTTTGTAATTTTCTTTTTTTGACGCTAACTTTTGAAAGCATTTGTAACCGAGCTGAAGCCGTACTTGTAACTTTGTCTTGAATCTTGAATGAAATCTGCTTCTTTTTGCTCAGTTTATTTCATACCTGCATTTTATTTTTTCCCTATGATTTGCATGTAGTTTAGCATTTTCTAGCCAAGATACTTATCTCAGTTTTAGAACTTTGCAATCTGTTTGGTCAAACCTGCCAAGTCTCTTCAGCCTAGATCCTTATCTTGGCTGAAGAGTACTTAAAGTTGGTTATTCCAGCCAACCTCTCTTCAGCCTAGATTGGCTGAAGAGTACTCAAAGTTGGTTATTCCAGCCAACCACTCTTCAACCTAGATCCTTATCTCGGCTGAAGAGTACTCAAAGTTGGTTATTCTAGCCAATCTCTCTTCAGCCTAGATCTTTATCTTGGCTGAAGAGTACTCAAAGTTGGTTATTCTAGCCAACCACTCTTCGGCCTAGATCCTTATCTCGGCTGAAGAGTACTAAAAGTTGGTTATTTCAGCCAACCTCTCTTCAGCCTAGATCCTTATCCTAGTTGAAGAGCACTCAAAGTTGGTTATTCTAGCCAACCACTCTTCAACCTAGATCCTTATCTCGGCTGAAGAGTACTCAAAGTTGGTTATTTCAGCCAACCACTCTTCAACCTAGATCCTTATCTCGGTTGAAGAGTACTCAAAGTTGGTTATTCCAGTCAACCTCTTTTCAGCCTAGATCCTTATCCTGGCTGAAGAGTGCTCAAAATTGGTTATTCTAGCCAACCTTTCTTCAGCCTAGATCCTTATCCTGGCTGAAGAGTACTCAGAGTTGGTTATTCCTGCCAACCTTTCTTCAACCTAGATCCTTATCTTGGCTGAAAAGTACTTAAAGTTGGTTATTCCTGCCAACCTTCTTCTGCTGCCCCTAGCAAATACTTCCTAAGAATAACTTTACAATAGAAAGAGAAACTACTTGTTTTACAGTGGAAAGATTTATGCTGAAAGAGAGACTACTTGTTTTATTAGAGAAAGAAAAATTACCAGTATTTAAAGGAAAGCTAAAAATAAAATAGTTTGAGATTGGCAGTGTTCCATGGCCTAGGTATCGCCTTGCTGTCTTCATCTTCCAAGTGATATGCCCATTTTCCTGCTAAACCAACCACTTTGTATGGTCCTTCTCAATTAGGCCCTAACTTGTCATCTCCAGGTACCAGAGTGTTTCCCATTACTTTGTGCAGCACCCAATCTCCAATCTTGAATTGCCTCGGATGTACCGTCTTGTTATATTTTCTGGATAACTCTTGCTGGTATGAGGCAATGTGAACCAATGCTCTTTCTCTTCTCTCTTCTGCTAGGTCAAGTTCCAAGGTTATGGCTTCTTCATTCAAGTCTAGGTCAAAATTTTCACTTCTAATGGTGGGGAGGCCTATTTCTAGTGGGATTACTACCTTCATGCCATAGGCCAAAGAAAAAGGCGTTTCACCAGTTGACCGCCGAGGTGTAGTGCGGTAAGCTCATAGAACATGAGGAAGCTCTTCAGCCCACTTGCCTTTTGCTCTTTCCAATATTTTCTTCAAACCATCCAAGACAACTTTGTTTGATGCTTCTACCTAGCCATTCGCTTGAGGGTATGCTGGTGTAGAGTTGTAGAATTCTATCTTGTATTCTTCGCAGAAGCCCCTGAAGATCTTGCCGTCGAACTGAGTGCTGTTATCGGATATCAGAGCCTTTGGTATGCCATATCTGGTTTTGATATTCTGCCAGACGAACTTCTTAACATCTTTCTCCTTTATTGATGCGAGTGCTTCAGCCTCTACCCACTTCGTAAAGTAATCCGTTGCTGCGAGAAAGAACTTTCTGTTGCCGGGTACTGTTAGAAGTGGTCCTACTATGTCCAAGCCCCACATCGCAAAGGGCCATGGGCTAGTTAATGGTAGAAGCTCTCTGGCTGGTTGATGTATTTGGTGTGCGAACTTCTGACATTTCTCGCACTTCTTGACATTCTTCTCTGAATCTGCTTGCATGTAGGGCCACCAATATCCTTGTGAAATTGCTCTGTAGGCTAATGATCTTCCCCCTTGGTGGCTTCCACATATGCCTTCGCGTATCTCGAACAGGAATACCTCGACCTTGCTAGGATGGACACATTTCAAGTAAGGTCCTGTGAAGGATTTTTTGTATAACGCCAATGATGGAGAGAGCCAAAATCGCTGCTACTTTGCTGTGATCTTGTTGGCCTTTTTCTTCTCTTCAGGTAAGATGCCGTCTTTTAAGAATACTATAATGGGATCCATCCATAAAGGGCCTAGCTCGGCACAACATACCTTTGTTAATTCGGGTTCTTTAATACTTGGTTTGGGTAAGAAGTCAATCAGTAATGGATGTGGGATAGATGTGTCTGCCATGGAGGCAAAACCTGCCAGTTTGTCTGCTTTGCTGTTTTCGTCTCGGCTGATTTGCTCTATTCGTATTACTTCCAATTTCATGATCTTCTTTCTGACTAACTCTTGGTACTTAGCCATCTTCTCATCTTTTGCTTCGTAGTCACCTGAAATCTGGTTTACTACTAATTGGGAGTCGCTGTAAACCATTAGCTCGGTGGACTTCATGAAGAATGCTGATTTTAGGCCCGTTAGAAGTGCTTTGTACTCTGCCTCATTATTTGATGCTGGGAAGCCAAGGTTGACTGCTTGTTTCACTATCAGGCTATCTGGTGAGATGAGGACTATTCCAAGTCCTGCACCGTGCCTATTGGATGCTCTATCCATGAAGAGCTTCCACATCTCTCCAACGAATAGCTTCCAGCAAGTGGAAGGGTCAGATGATGTCTTGGGGTCATGAGTGTTGCTGATGTCATCTTCCAAGTCCATGCTTGCTGGTGGGGTTTACTCTTCACTATCTGACTGTACCAAGTTTTTACTTGTTGATGAGTTTTTGCCGGGTATAGCACGGTTTGCCTCTTCCTCCCTTTCTTCAATCCGGTATGACTTGGGATGTGGCTGGGCGTCTTGTTTTGGGGGTTGCACAATTCTTGCGGCACTTTCCATCCCCTTTTCAGTTGTATCAGTTAAGTCAACTGGGCAGATGTGATGGCTTCCTGGTGTGAACTCAGCCACAAAGTCTGCTAGGGCTTGGGGTTTTATTGCGGTTCTGGATTGGAACTTGATGTCAAATTGTCCCAATTCCACCGCCCATTTTAAGATTCGTCCAGAAAAGTCTGCCCTCTCAAACAAAGCTTTTAAGGGAAAAACTGTCAGGACGATTATGGTGTGGGCGTGAAAATAATGTGATAACTTCCTTGAGGCCATCATCAATGCTAAGGCCAGCTTTTTCAATGGTAGGTACCTGGTTTCTGTCCCCAGTAAGGTCTTGCTAACATAAAAGATAGGCAGGTGTTGGATTCCTTCGCTCTGACCAACACTACGCTGACTGCATGCTGTGACACTGCTAAGTACAAAAAGAGTTCTTCTCCAGATACTGGGGTTACTAGTAATGGAGGAGAAGTCATGTAGTCTTTTAGGCTCTCTAGGGCGCGATCACATTCTTCGTTCCACTCAAATTTGGTTTTCAGCGCTTGGAAGAATGGTCGACATCTGTTTGATGACTGACTTATGAACCGGTTGAGTGCGGTAGCTAGGCCAGTGAGATGCTGCACCTCTTTTACTGTGTTAGGCCTCTCTAGATCCTGGATTACTTTGATCTGAGAGGGGTCTGCTTCTATACCTCGATTGGTCACCAGGGAGCCTAGGAATTTACCTGATTCTACGCCGAACGCACACTTAGATGCATTTAGACTCAACTTGTTCTTCTTTAGTATTTGGAACATTTCGTCTAGGTCCTTGAGATGGTCTTTCTCATCCTTGCTTTTGACCACCATGTCATCTATGTAAGCCTCCATTGTTTTTCCTAGTAATGGTTTAAACATTTTGGTGACCATCCGTTGGAATGTGGCCCCTGCATTTTTTAGGCTAAAGGGCATGACCTTGTAACAATACAATCCTCTAGGCGTTGTAAAAGATGTGACCTCCTGGTTTGGCTCATACATAGCGATCTAATGGTAACCTCTATACGCATCAAGGAAGCTAAGTCGATTGTGCCCTGCCGTCAAGTCAACTAGTTGGTCTATCCTGGGTGAGGGAAAGCTATCCTTTGGACATGCCTTGTTGACTGTTTTGTAGTCCATGCAAACACACCATTTTTCATTCTTCTTCGGTACTACTACAGTATTGGATATCCACCTGGGATAGTGCACTTCTCTGATGGCTCTTGCCTCCAGCAAGTTTTCCACTTCCTCTGCCACTATCTCCACGTGGTGGAGTGCTGATCTGTGAGTGCGTTGTATGATTGGTCTGGCGTTTGGGTAGACATTAAGTTGGTGGCAGATGAAGTTAGGGTCTATGCCAGGCATGTCATATGGCGTCCAAGCGAACACTTCGATATTTGAGATTAAGAATTCCATTAACTCAGTTCTCTCAGTGCTGGACAAAGACGAGCCTAGCAAAAGAACCTTTCTGGGTTCTTTTCATCTACCCTTACCTCAACCAAGTCCTCCACTACCTTCTGTTCTGCTGCCTTGCCAATATCTGCAAATAGTTCATTGTTCTCTAGCTCTTTTACCATCTATACATATCCTTTTGCAGCCCGACTGCCGTTTACTGTGACGAAGCACTGTTTTGATATGATTTGGTCTCCCAAGACCTTTTCAATTACTCCAGCTTCGTTGGGGAACCGTAGTGCTTGATGGTAGGTTGACGCTATCGATCGCATGACGTGAAGCCATGTTTTTTCCAAGATTATGTTGTAAGTGGAATGGACCTTCAATACCTAGAATTTCACTTGTTTAGTCATGGTCCCAGCTTTGACTGGGAGGATTATCTTGCCCACTGGCCATTCTAGCATTGAGTTAAAGCCAACTAGGAGGGATGTTGCAGGGGCCAAGTCTTTGTCCTCTAGTTTCAGCTGTTTGAAGGTTTCATAATACATTATCTCGCATGAACTTCCTTGGTCAATCAGAATCTGTTTGATATCATAATTCTTGACGCGCAAAATCACCACCAGTGCGTCATTGTGAGGGCAATGTATCCTTGCTAGATCTTTGTCTGAGAAGGATATGACGTTCGTAGCCTCTGTTTTGCCCTTTTTGATGGCGGGTTGTGCACTTAGTACCTTCTTCAGGTGTTCTGCCTTCTTTATCATCCCCCTGAGTTCACATATCCGCTCAGGTTCTATGATGCCATGAATAACATTGATTACGCCTTGGGGTGGTCCGTCTACCGGCATCCCGTTTGGCCCACTGAGATCCTGGGGGGCTAGCTGTGTTCCCCCCTCAATATACTAGTCTAGGTGACCAGCAGCTACTAATTCTTCCAGATGTTGCCTCAGGGGTGTGCAATTTTCAGTTAGGTGTACCTTCTCATCATGGAAGGTGCACCGGGACCTCTCGTCGTAACCCCTTTGTGCTACTCCCAACTTGGCTAGCCGCCGAATGAAGAGTTCATTCTTTATCTCGCTAAGAATTAGTAGATGTGTTTATTGAACACGGTGGTGATGGCAGTGCGAACTCTTAACCTCCTTTTTTCTAGGTCCTCCCTGTTAGCTCGCCTGGCTCGCCCATTCCTGTTTGGTTGTTCTACTGTGTTGACTTTTACTGCGGTCTTCTTGTTTGGCATTACTGTTGAGCCAGATTTTGCTTTAGCCCGGGTGCTATCTTCCTCCACGCGGATATGTTGGTGCACCCTCTCCATTAGGGCCTCCATCGTGAGGGGTGGCATCATAATAATTTAGTCCCTCAACTTGTTTCCGACTGGTAGACCCCTTTTGTATTGTGCGATCGCGAGATTTGTGAGGCAATGTCCTATCTGGTTGAAAGTCTCCCAATATCGACTGTTGTAGGATCTCAACGTCTCCTTGTCGCCCATGTCAATGGAGAGTAGTTGATCGATCTCCACTGGTGTCTTGGTGTTCATTCTGAACCTAGTCATGAACGCCGCTGCCAATTGTGCCCATGAGGCGATGCTGCCTTCTGGTAGCCTTTCGAACCAGATTAGACCTAGGTCGCCAAGGCTAGATGGGAAGAGGATACACATTAGGGCTTCATTCCGCCGGTACACTGCCATAACTTGGCGAAAGTGGCGAAAGTGCATATAGGGGTCCGTCTTCCCTTCATAAGTAGTAAATTTGGGCTGGTGGAAGCCTGCAGGTAGTGGTGCGTTCTCTATTGCCGGAACGAACGGCGAGCTCTGTAACCTTGCTAATACCTTATCCGCTGGTTCGTAAGCAAGGCGAGGTATTGGCATCCCTACTTCGACACTCTCATGTGTCCTGTGGGCCAATCACTGTAGTGCTGAGACTCTGCGTGGGTCGCGAGCCCTAGTGTCTTCTTTCCATCGGGCCCTTTTGTCAAGTACTGTTCGCAAGTCAGATGATCTAAGCAACTCCATGTGCCTAGATGTCGTCTGGTGCGTGTGCGAGAACCGATAGGTGCTTCCCTTAGTACACGACCTCTCAGTTCTCGTTCTTTCAGACCTGGAGTAACGAGTCCCGGAAGTCCTCGATTGGGTGTCGCCTGTTCTAAGGCTCCTGCTTTCTGCTTGCGATGGCGCGGTGTATCTATCACGATCCTCTGAGTGGCGAGGGGGCGTGTTGCCTTTGTGCCCCTTTTCTGTCGTCACCCCTTTCCCTCTTATCTGGCGCTTCATTGTCTCCATGTCTGCCGCCATCTTCCTAATTAACTCGTCCTGCTCCTTTACGTGATCCTCCAGAACATGAGGGTCCATCCTCCGCCTCTGTCTTTCAGGACTTTGAGAGCGACAGGGGCTGCTGCCCGTCTTCCCCTTGCATCCCTCCGGAGGTTCTGTCACTGGGGCTCTAAATCCACCATGGGAGGGATAGAAGGCAAACCTTCGCGCCTCCCACCCCCCTCCGGGGTTTGCCCATCAATAGCCGATTGCGATAAGTCTTCATTGTGCGCCATTGTTTCTAACTTGGGAGGAAAGCTTGATCAAGAGGTTTTGTTCTTTATTGTCTTCCCACAGATGGCGCCAATTGTACGAGCACGAAATAATGTTCTCGTATAATCCTGTTGATCAAGTCTGCGCTCCTCCGAACGTCGTCGTTTTACTCCCTGAAAACACAAACGTGAGCTAGCCGGCGGGTGTGTGCCGGATACCTCTCCAATGCCTAAATTAGCCAAATAGACAAATAGGTAAAATCTCTGTGTATTCGAGAATCAAAGTTGTGATACCTGTACATAGGTTCTGTCATAAGCTTTCATTGTTTTTGCCGGGCACAATCTTAATAGGACTCTTATTCCTCAATGCAGAGTCCTTCTCGGAATTATACTCCTGAAGGATAATGCTTATCCCTCAACACCCTCTTCACTGCTTTAATCAAGTGAAACGGTTTTACTACGGTTGTATGATTACACAACCAAGCTAACACCGTTATACTCGAGCGGCAGTTTCAACCGCGCTTCACCTATCTCGGCGATACCTTGCTCTTACAATTCAGCTCGGTGCGTCCACAAGTGACGCCTTAACTCGGTTATTGCTCAACTATACCTCAGACCGGGGTATATAGACCGAGCTATGTGCGGCCGTGCATTTCAACCGAGATAATTGTCACCACAATTAGACCGAGCTAACAAAACTAGGTCCAATTTGTGAAGTCCTTTTTACTACGGCCCACGAATCAGTCCACTGCAATGACTGGGCCTAGCTCGGCCCTAAGTGCACATATAAACTCCCTCTCATTTTGTATAACCAAGGGCTTTATTTATATTGAGGTAGTCTCACTTTTGTTGTAACTAAGTCATGACTTGGAAAGATGTAAGCCTAAATGTACTTATGTTAAACTCTTTTGTACCATTAACTCTATGAAATGAAAGAACATTACACTTGGATTCATGCTGTTATTCATATATGTTCTTGGTTGGATTTATGATTTATTTCGGGACGTTACAACTTTTTAAAACTTACTGAGTAGAATATTCATGCAAAAAATCAAAATAATCAGACATTGGAAGTTATTTGTTTGAATCAACTTTATATTACAAAAAAATTGATGGTTATTTTTAAAATTATATTTGTGGTTCATTTTTTTAAAACAAATATGATTCAAACATATAGTTTCTTATTTTATCTTATTTTTTGTATGAATATTCTACTTAATGAATCAAAAAAAAAAAAGTTAACAGTTTGGATTACCGAAATCAATTCCAAAATGAACCTATCAAATCCAAATACTTTCTCAAATTGAAATGACAACTTAAAAAAAATCAAATCTAAAATGAAACTAATATTAATAGTGAGAATTCCTCTTAAAAATTGTTTTTTTTAATATTAAAATAACAGCACATTATTTTCATATTATTTTTTCTTTTTAGGGAGAAAAAAAATTTTAAAATTAAAAAAAGTGGTGTTTGTTTCAGTTAAATTAATTTTTATTTTTGAAAAAAAATTAAAAATTAAATTCTTAAAACTAAACTAAATAAAATAAGCGAATGTTTGGTGCACCTTATATGAACTACTTATGTAGATATATTTTTTTTGAGAGTCTGTTACAGTTTATTAGATATAAATAATTTAAATAAATTAAAAAAATTAATTATTTTTGGAAGTTGAGAAGGGATGCTTTGAACTTATACTTTTTTAAGTATTAATTTTTAATAAATTGCACCACATAAATCTATTAATGATTATTTTAGAAATTAACTATTTTAATTATTATTTTTTTTTATAAAAAAAAACATGTAAAAAAAAAAAAAGAAAAAAAGTTGACTCCTTGGCTTTAAACTATGTTAATGGGTTGCCAAACACCTATAAAAGTCATGTGATAACATGTGCCAACCTAAAGAATGTCTGTACTGTGTGAGGATATACCTTCCAAACATGAAGAGTCCCATAAAAGTCTTTGTCCTCTCTATTTATAGACCATTCATTTGTTTTTATTAATTTTTTTTTTCTCCAACTTTCATGTTATGTGTCGAGCACATCCAAGGATACAGCACATGGAGGGTATGGAATTTTCACACAATTAAAATTTATTATACACAAGGAGGTTGTATTTAAATTAAGAATTTAGACACAAAAAAAATTATTTAAAAAATAATATATAACTTAGATTCAACAAATTCACACTGAAATGGATTAAGATTGAACATTATGAGTTTTTTTTTTTAAAAAATTATTTTTAAATGTGGGTATGCATCTAAAATGTTAAAAAGAAAAAATTGATTAAAATATGAAGTATTTACTAAAAATAAATAAAATCTGAGTAAGAACCTATATTTTTTTTGGATAAACTACATTGACCTCTATTGAAATTTGAAAAAATATAAAATCTCACAATTTTGACGTGATTATATTAAATTCTTTTATGATTTTAATTTAACACTTAACCTTATTTTTATAAACAATTTATTTGTTATATGAATAAAAAAATTAATGTAAATATGTCAAAATTATAAATTTTTTTGTATTTTTTAAAACTATATGTGATGTAAGTGCTACTTATTTACTTTCCCTTTGAATTTTTAATCTCTAAAAATATCTGTATACATATCACAATTCCTTTCTCCCCCATGTGATGTTGCATTCTCAAGTGAGCCCCACAATTATGGGTTGGATATTGACTTCTCAGACAGCATTGACCATCTTCTCATGATTTTTTTTTGGTTACAACGGAAAGAAAGAAAGAAACTGAGGGAGGGCTAGCCCCTTTCCCTTGAACTCCTATCATGTCTGCCAGCAGATAACTGCAAAGTTCAGCTGGTGGTTCGTGCACACCAGCATATTCTCCGGTTGGTCTGCACCCAGCTTGGCTAGACCATCTCATGATTGAAGGCCTCGATGGGTGCTCTAGATATCCATGCATTTGTAAAAAAAATATTAGACATCTTAAAAGATTTAGAATAAATTATAAATATATTCTTGAGATTTGATTAAAATATAAATTATTTTTTATAATTTTTAAAATTATATTTTACTCTTTAAGGTTTTAAATTTCATAATGAATTGCCTATTTTATTAATAAATTATCAAATCAATTAATAGTTTTTAATGATGTTAAAAATATGTTTCAATTAATAATTTAGGTAATTTTATTATTGTATATGATAACAATTATGAATTTTATTTTTTTAGTTAATTCTGTTAAATAAAAAAATTCTAGTAAGGGAGTATTTGTAATTTTTCAAATCACAGAAGGCAATCTGTATTTTAAATAAACATTAGGGGGTGTATTTATAATTTTTCCAAAGATTTAATATTAAAAATTTTATC